ATATATGTATAATATATGTACCATGTTGACCACCACACGGTTCCACCTGGAAACCATCGTGATAAATGATTAGTGAATATGTCACGATGTGCTAACTGACCTGACCTCATGCTCATCTTATCATCCTCCACTGGTGCCCCGCCAGCGTAAACCGTTAGCGCAGGCGGGTGCACCATTCCATTATCATCCATAAATCTATACATGTGAATAAAATTGGAGTGTCTGTTTTTAATACTGAAATAACCGTTTTTTACTAAATGCATATGAATATAATACATACACCAAAATAATATTTTTTTTTATAATTTTTGTCTGTCTGTCTCTATGTTCCGGCTATTCTCTGAAATGGCTGGACCGATTTTGACGGGACTTTTATTGGCAGGTAGCTGATAATTAGGGGTAACTTAGGCTACTTTTATTTTATAAAAATAAAGTATTCGGTACCTACTGTACCTATGCTGTAACAGTTAGTACTTAAAAAAACCGATTGTATCTACTAGTTAAACCTTACGTTTACCATTTCAAGCCAACATTTCGGTAAACCAACCGGTAGGCTATACTGAAAGTGAAACAAAACAATGGCTCTTACAATTTAATCCAGATTATCTTTTACAGCAGTCGCTTACATCCTGTTATTATTGTTTTTGTAACAATCATTTTATCATAACCTGTCAACATCACGCCAGCATCCCAACCAGTACGCTGCTAGAAGATTTCTTGATTGAATGAATGATTGTGACTCATGAATTGATTTCTTGCCCATTCTACTCAGCTGTGACTGCTAACGAATATAGTGATCAATAATAAAAAAATAGAATATATCATCATCAGTCATAACAATTTTTTTTATCTACCGCTTGTTCGGAAATCTGTCTCATCACAAGAAGAACGAGCAAGAAACTTGTGTGTTGCTCTTTTAAATAATCCTTGTAAGTTTACATTTACAAGTCGAAACGTGTGAATACAAACTACCAACAAGCACTAATGTATTAGGGTCAAATATAAATATACAATAAGATTAAATCAGTCATAAGAGCAGTGATAAGATAGAGTTATTCAAGAGGAAGGTTTATATATATATAATACATATACACTCGTGCGAAGCCGGGGCTAGTAAATATATATTTTAAAAAAAATTTACATATATATATATATATATATTTTTAAATTCAAGATATCTTTATTCATGTAGGTCTATTACAGACTCTTATAAAATGTCAAATCTACCGTCAGTTCGGAATGATTTCGAGATGAGAACTGACAAGAAACTCAGCTCGTATTCTTTTCAAATAAATGTTATACATGTTTACAATCATACAGATTCATTAAAATTTAAATTTGGGAGAATAGAGTGACCACCAGCTTATGCTATTGCAAAGGCAAAAAGTTTGATCAGTGACTTCGAGATGAGAAGAACTGACAAGACACTCAGATATATATGTAAACAGACATGAATGGTAGACAAGAATTATGGTAATGAAATAAACTCCAGATTGTAAAGGTTCTGCAAAATAAAATTATGCGATATCATTAACATAATAGTCGTCGTCGTAATAAGAGAAACATCTCGCGCTATGTGCAAATACAGCGCCAACTTACATCATTAGCATTAATTAAACGCCGTAGGGACTAAGATGAGAAACGGTACATCAGACAGATTAGATAATAATAATAATAATAATAACGCACGCGCACACACTCACAGACATACACACACTCTGCACTTACATGGTTTCGGCCCGTAAGTGTGGAGAAAACCAGCAAAAGCTGAGAAAAAAAAAATAACTCGGTACTAGTCACAAGCTTAAGCTGTGAAAAAGAGAATAATAATAATAAGAAACCAGCAAAAGCTAAGAAAAAATAATAAAAATATAAAAAAAAAAATCTCAGGACAATTCACACAGCGCCGTGTATTGTCCTGAGATATTATTATTATTATTAATTTATATTGTAAGGGAATTAGTTTTTAATATAACTCAAATTTGGAGGATTTTAATAATCATTGCTCTTCATTATGATCATATTTCGATAACATTTTTTTGGGAATTTTTTTTAGTTTGGAATCGGTGTCCTTCAATGTCTTTCAATCAGAAATATAATAGTAAATGATAATAAGTTATTGTCAGTCAACATAATCCATATCTTTAATAACAAATACTTAACCTATTTCAGTTAAAAATGTGGAACAACACCTGAACGTATCACAAGTCCCACCAAGTAATTAGGCCAGGCAGAAGCCTATAAAATAGACTGTTCCATTCTAAAAAAAACTCTCAAATAAATGTCCTACAATAAAAATCTAAATATATATACAGACTAGCTTTTGCCCGCGGCTCCTCGCGGCAAAATCCTTTCTTAGCTTTATGCATGCAAAGTCTCAGCCCGATCGGTTTAAAATTGACAAATTTCATACAAACTTTCATCCCCTATTTTATCCCCCTGGGGGTGGAATGAATCAAAATTATTTCTTAACGGATGCCTACGTCATAACATCTACCTGCATGCCAAATTTCAGCCCGATCCGTCCAGTGGTTTGGGCTGTGCGTTGATAGACTACGTCAGTCACCTTTGAGTTATATATATTTAGATAGTTACAGGTTACCTCTAAGAGATTGCTCAGCGATAAGCCCGCCTTTTATACTCGTCATTGTTATACATATTTTTATATTAATTAATATTTTCTGTAATTGGTGCAAAAAAAAAAAAAATTTTTGCAATATATTTCCTGTGATCTCATGCATTATCATGTTTGAGGGCAATTTTTTATATCTACTTACTCTATTACATATCTTTGATCCTTCAAATTCATTGAACAGTAAGAATAAAAATCATTTTTAACTGTAACATCTCAACCCCTAGAGCAATATATTTATTCTCCTAAGTTTGATCCCTGCAAACATTAACTGTCTGCCATTGCTGGAGTACAAAATGACAGTACAAAGCAAAATAACAGAAGCAAATATTTTGTTAACAGACAAATAAGAAAGTAACTGACAAAGAATATAGAAATTAAATGACAAATGAAATGTTTCGGTGGTTAATTAAAAATTTAAGTAGGAGAGAATAATCGTTATAGTATTGTAAATATTTAATTACTAGCGACACATCCTGGCTTTGTATCGCTGCAATTATTGTGGAGACTTGTAATTTAACTAGTTACACGCCCCGGCTTCCCACAGTTGTACATGTATTATATATATAAACCTTCCTCTTGAATCACTCTAACTATTAACTTCACTTACTTTCATACAATATTTCGTCTACCCTTAAACCCCTTATAATCCTTTTCTCGCATTAAAGAGTAGCCTATGTCCTTTCACGTGGTCTAGGCTATATGAGTACCAAATTTTATTTAAATCGGTTCAGTAGTTTTGGCGAAAAATTGTTATGACTATTCAAAAGTTTTTTTTAATAAATTATTTTCTATTCTAACTCTATCATATAAAAAGGTGCGTTATGCACAAATAGTACAATATTTTGTATTAACGCTTTAATATAATATCAACATAAACTATCTGAACCTCCAGAACAAAGACATAAACTTGATTATCAAGGAATGGCAGAAGAGGCCACTAGCGAAATTCTGTTGACTCGGGCGACATTGGTTCGAGACGAACGTATATCAACTCTATTGTTCGGTGATTGAGTTTATATTCCAACGAGAGATTTACACGTATGTAATTCAATCGTGGCATGTGATACGCAGCTAGTAACGGGTCTGATATTTCCAAAATACGTTTATTAATTTGTCCGGGCTTGTGTCATTTACAAAAGTTTTTTGTTGTTATACGAGTATAGTTGATTTATTTTATCATGCTCTGAAGTAATAGTTAATATTTTAGGGAAGGTGTTATACGAATGTGGATATTTATACGGACCGAAAAAGAGATGGATGAAACAGAAATAGAAATAGAAATAATCTTCATTCAAATAAATTTAATATAAGCACTTTTGAATAGTCAAGTTTTTTTATTCTACCGCTCATTCGGAATGCAGACTCATCACAAGAAGAATGAACAAGAAACTTGTGTGTTGCTATTTTAAATAAATATTGATTTAATTATATTTACATTAACAATGATTAGGCATGCGATAATCAACATAGAAACCGCTACGCACTTAATCTCTGTTCAATCAGATAACATTGTCAGCGCTATGAATTTTAAGTTAGATATTTTCTACAAAAACATTATTATCATTTATAAATTCTTCAATTTTATAATAAGCTTTTTTACAAAGAAAATATTTTATAACACATTACATATTTTTTCTGGCAAATTGAGATGAACTGTGTAAAAGATGATATGGTAAGAAATGGAGTAAATAACGAGATGACTACAAACAGGGATGAATGGAATTATATGTACTAGACAACTGATATAAGTACATAGATACAAAAAATCATACTCATGAATACAAATGTTTGCATCATGCGAGGAACCGAACCCGGGACTATCAGACATAAAACGGTGTATCACTAAACCACCAAAGCCATCACCGCTAGCCCTGGGTGGTCTAGTTACTAGTTAGTATATAGGTTTGTTGTAAAATATTATTCTAGTTGCGTGCAACGAAATTCGTTAGATAGAATATTATTCTATCAAAAAGATCATGTCAAACAAAACGTTCGAATTGGTGCAAGCTAATATCCACCGCAGCTGTCGATTCGTGAAATTGGATGTTAGGGAGCAACAAGTTTCTGATCTGTTCATTTCTGTCGGATACGCCACTATTTCATTCACTATCACTCGTTATACCACTTATATCTAAATATTGGATGAAAAAGATTTAACCTTTAATAATTGAATACTTCGTTTTAAAGCTTGTGTGTTGGGTTGTGATTAATTTTCCTATTATATTGCATAACAGACTCAGTGTTTATAAAAATATATTATACGTAATTTATACTACTGTAGAAACGTAAATATTCAAGACTTTTGATATATTATTCTATTTGTGTAACTAAGTGTGTAAGTGTAATCGGTGTAACTATTTTGATGTCTTTATAAATAAGTATAAAATGTCTCAAGTACCGCAACAAGGCTTGGTGCCAGAAAAACCACAGGAGTTCAATCGCAGGGCATCTCAAGATATGACAGACTCAACAGCTCCACAGAAGAGCCAGCGATCTCTGGAAGCGACTCCTAAGAAGGAGCCCACACAAAATGGCTCTGATAAAGTAATTCACCAAAACGATAAAGCCCACCCAACGAAATTAGAAGAGAGGAAACATGACACAAATTTCAGTCCAGCCCGCTCAAGTCATGATAGCAAAAATCCGTTTTCGCCACATTTCTACAGGAGTAGCAGACCTCATGGACATTTTGAGATGGGTCCTCGCGGTATAGACTATTCACCGCACAGAATGGGCATGGATTTCTCCAACCGCTTGAGAGATTACGGTCCTCAACGATCTACATCTATCCACGGACATGAGCTTACAGATGGTCCAATGAAACCCGAATATTTGGGTCATAGAACCCATTTCGGCAGTCAATTGGGTATGGCACACCCAGATGTGGTTTTTAGACATGACTATTATAGTCAAATGGGGTACTCTCCGCCTCGAGCTTCAAGATTTTCATCGCAGGAGTATTTGAATGCTCCAACTCAGTACGGCAGGTGGCCAGACTATCGGGCTGATTATCGTCACAGACGGCGATCTCAACAGGATCTACCTTCTATGGAACAAAGTCCAGAAACAGGTACCGTAGTTTTATTAATATTATTATTTCATATATTTAGAATGGTATATAGGGTGATGCTTCACTTTCTAAAAAGTGGTAATCATCGCCTACATTGTTGTAACAGAAACTACAACTTCTCAAGCGGTGAAATTCCTAAATAGGATCTGTTCACTTAGTAATTTAAGTACCATATTTTGATCCTTCAAGACAGAAACAAAACAATTGGCTAGCGGCAGAATTGGGTAAGGCAGAGAATATTCATGTAGATGAGTCTCGGGCTAGACTAGAATAACATTCATTTTTGTTATATTGTTTATTCTTTGGTCTGCTAATATATTTTTTAACTATTGCTTTTGATAAGTTTCACAAAAATTTTCAATTGGCCATGACGAAAATTGATAAAACGTATTGTTTTTCCCAGTTTCTGACATTTGACAAACGAGTTTGGAAAACAATTTTTAAGGGAAGTTTCGATATTAAACAAGCTGAATTGGTTCGTGTTACCCAAAATTAATGTAGCACCTAAACGTTTCACTGGTAAATATGAAATGCATATGCAAGATGTAATTTGAATGTGGATGGATAAGCTCTTTAAAGTGGACGTGCATGATGAATTACTTTTATATCTGATGCCGGATTATGACATGGCTAGCTTTGTGAAATGCTTTTGACAATTCTTCCAAAGGAACTTTGCGGGCTATCCAAAATTTTCTGTTTATGCATGTTTAATCATAATCAAAGAAATAAATATATTATTGGCTAACAAAAATAAATGTCGATTAATGCAAACTAAAAAGAATTGGGTGATTTTTTTGCAATCAATTACGGGATACGGACGTTTATAAATTTATAATCGAAATTTGATGATCAAATTCGAAATAGATTTATATTTCGTGTGGAATACAATGTGAATTATTATGATTCTGATGAATAATTGTTTCTGAATATTCGTTTAATATTGTACTATTATAGAGATACTCGTAAGTTTTTAAAGGAGTAAACATTTTAAAACTGTTTTCAAAGTGCCGCCAGCCATGAAATCATTCTGGCTTTGCTTCCGTCCCGTCTAGCAGCGATACATCCTACTCCTGACACTGTCTACTTGCACCGTACAATGCGCTTTCAGAATGCACAACGTATTTTGTCGCAATTTAGAAAAAAAACATTGCTATGAAATCGTCTGAAGCAAAATTATTTTTTTCTTTTCATCGTTAACTGATATTTGCGACTTCGAATTAGATAATGATGTTACAAGAAGATTCATTATTTCTTGTTCGTCGTAGAGACAATTTATGTTACACGAAAGGTATTATTATCCCATTATTTTCCAGTGAAAGTTGTTTAGTTTTGAAATTCTCCGCATCAGAATCTTTTGCTCAGAATACTTACGAGATCTCGCCGCTCGGAAAGTTTTACAAAGTCATTACAAAGCGTTATAATCCAAATTTGGGAACAGACCAATCAATTTGGACGAGCATTTTCTTCAAAGATTCCGATGAAGTTGAGAAATTAATTTATTAGATATTTTAATCAAGTTTTAGAGAATTTCCCAAAGCGGCTGCTGTTACAAATAATCTCCGGGGCGATTGGTGTTCATCTGCATACAATTATTTCCGTAGATAATATTCAATTTCAACTTTAGTAATCTTATTATGAATATCGTAGTCAAGATTTTCTCTAAACATTACTGGTTTATCTTCTAGCTTTGAAGCTACATCGACACTAGAAATTACCTTCATTACTGAATTAATAACGTTCTAATTTCATTAACTTGGGTTTCTATTTAATCTGACGTTATCGTTCCTCATTTTAATAGCTGGTACATTCCGGTCCTATTATAATAATTTCTGTTTCTATATATTTGTTTAGGCGTATATGTATATCAAATGTAAAGCTCTACCCGCGACTTCTTCCGCGTGGAATTTAACTTATTTTTTCTAAAATAAAAGTAGTCTAAGTTACTCCTTTTTACATCAGGTACCTGCCAATAAAAGTCCCGTAAAAATCGGTCCAGCCATTTCAGAGATTAGCCGGAACAAACAGAAAGACAGGCAAAAATTGGAAAAAATGTTATTTTGGTATATATATCGTATTTATATTCATATGCATGTACTAAAAAACGGTTACATCAATATTACAAACAGACACTCCAATTTTATTTATATGTATAGATGTATAGGCTTTGTTTTAATTATGTGTATGTCAAAGAAATCAATGAATGGCATTCGGTTCCCTGTACTTCTTAAGGAATTGGAAATATATATGAAACTAGTTTTTGCCTGGGGTTTTTATCCCCTTAGGGCTGGAATTTATCAAAATCCTTTCTTAGGGAATGCCTATGTCATAGTAGCTTTATGCATGCAAAATCTCAGCCCGATCGGTTTAAAATTGACAAAGTTTCATACAAATTTTCATCCCCTATTTTATCCCCTTGGGGATAGAATTAATCAAAATCCTTTCTTAGCGGATGCCTACATCATAACATCTACATGCATGCCAAATTTCAGCCCGATCCGTCCAGTGGTTTGGGCTGTGCGTTGATAGATCACTATGTCAGTCACATTTGAGTTATATATATTTAGATACTAGCTCTGCCCATTGCGCAACTTTCTGTCATTTGATTACCTAGCTCACTAACCTCAAATATTACGTACTTTTTTAATTTTTGTAATCTTATGGTTGTACAAAAAAAGCAATGTATTTATTAAAGCATATAAACAAGAATATATTATAACCACTGAATAACATCATGTTGCCGCTGTCAGAATCCACATCTTCCAATTGCATCCCCGAACTTGACCTTATTATTATCATTAATTGGACAAGTGCTGCAGCGAGACGGGGTCGACGACCGGCTGGGGTGGATTCTACCCTCTATCGATCCCATTCATGCGTGACGCGCTACCCTGTAAATTGTTTAAGGTGCACTGTAGCAGTTGTCTTGGTCCTTGGGACCGGTCTGTAGTTTAGATTGTATTGTGTATTATATAGAGTTTTAAATATAACGTGGATTATTTATACGTATAATTAGTAAATCAAATAGAAATAGAAATAGAAATAATCGTTATTCAAATAAACTCATTACAAGCACTTTTGAATAGTCATATTTTGATTCTACCACTCATTCGGAATGCAGATTCATCACAATAAGAATGAGCAAGAAACTTGTGTGTTGCTCTTTTTAATAGATGTTTTTTTATATAAATAATTATAGTATAACAAGTAAGAGGCATGCGATAATCAACATAGAAATCGCTACGCACTCATTATTAGTGTAATCAGATAATATTGTCAGTGCTATGGATTTTAAGTATTTCTTAGAGAGTCTATAACCATATTCCCGATTGAAATTTTTATATTTCTGTATTTCGATGACTTCTCAATAAAAATAAAAAAATTGACGGTCATAAACGGCTAAAATGTCCTACATGAATAAATGATTTTTTAATTTGAATTTGAAGAATATTATAATATTACTAGCTGTCCCGGCAAACGTTGTTTTGCCTTAAAATAAAAAAAAATTAGGGGTGGACTACCCCTAACATTTAGGGGGATGAAAAATAGATGTTGACCGATTCTCAGACCTACTCAATACGCTCACAAAATTTAATAAGAATCGGTCAAGCCGTTACGGAGGAGTATGGGAACGAAAACTGTGACACGAGAATTTTATATATAAGATTATGTATTGGCCAAATATACTTTTCTTTCTTTCTATTTACTGGACAGTAAATAGAAGCCAGCCTTGGAACTGATTGCTGGCAGTACTTCTGTTTGAAGACATACTAAGATAAACCAATATTTCAGTTCTGAAACTGTTTTCGCCAATAAATTAAGCTTCGTTCACAATTTCATATAACAGGGTCTGTATTCGTAACCGATTCCCATTTATCAGTGAATAATGACTCATTATTTCGTTGGTGCGGCGGTCTAGGGTTGCCAACCATACTTTATAATAATCTTTATAATAATAATAATAATCCTTCCATCACCACATTTAAAAAAAGATTAAAATCTCATTTTCTCTCCATTAATTCATGACGTGGTTTCACACGTAATCATTATATGTAATAGTTGCTTATGTATTTGTTTAGGTATTTATATATGGTTATTTTATTATATTTATAATATAATATTTATTTATTATATGTATTGTATTTTATATATTTAGTGTGTGTATGCTTTTTTTTTTTTTTGTTTGTTCTTTAAGTATACATTGGAATATCTATGGTTATGTATTACAACCACTTAAAAACTCAAGCACTATCGTTGCCCGTTAATTACCACCTCTGTCACAGCGTTAGGTTGGCTGGAAGAAATCTCTTGCAGAGATAAGCCCGCCCTTGCTCACAATTTAACTGTCTTTGTCTATTAATGTAATAAGTGCAATAAAGTATATATATATAATAATTTTATTCCTAAATGTACGTTAATTAAATACAGTTAGCCCATCAACATTCTGTAAACATTTTAGGTACATTTACAGTTGTGTACATAAAAGATTCGATCGATCCCCGTCCAATTCAAACGGGGATCGAAATTACGACGGCCTGAGCCGAGGTTCGAACCCCTAGTGGTGCCCTCAGATAGCCGCTCCATAAGTCCTTCCGCGGGTTTGGAGTGCCATCTGCACTCGCCCCTAACGTCCGGTGAAGCTGTAAAGGCCAGCTGCGGCCAACAGCATTAGAGTAGTCAGAAAAAAAAAATATATTTTAATAAAAAAAAATATACATTTTTAGAGACGCTTTCTGACATACTAGATTATCAGAACATTCATTTAATATCGTATATAGGGCCACTATTACTTATGTATTTAGTGTTCTTCTGGTAGGTATACTGTCTGGTAGGACTGCAGTAGGAAAAGGGTGGTGGAAGGATGAGACCAGTCGTGGCTTTGTATATATGTGTATTCTTATGTTATTTACAGTCTGTGAATCATATATATATATATATATATATATATATATATATATGATTCACAGACTATAAAGAATGCAATAAAGAATATTCTTTATTGC